TCTGTCTCTATCTCTTCCAAATAAATAAACATTAAAAAAAATTTTTAAGGGAAATAGGGAGGGGCGCCTGGATGCCTCAGTTGGTTAAGCGTCCAACTCTTGGTTCCAGCTCAGGTCATGATCTCACAGTTTGTGAGTTCAAGCCCCACATTGGGCTCCATGCTGACAGTGCAGAGCCTGCTTGGGATTCTCTCTCTCCCTCGCTCTTTGCCCCTCCTCCAGTCTCTCTGTCTCTCTCAAAATAAATAAACTTAAAAAAAATTTTTAATAAAAAAAAAATAAAGAGGGGCGCCTGGGTGGCTCAGTTGGTTAAGTGTCCGACTTTGGCTCAGGTCATGATCTCGCGGTCCGTGAGTTCGAGCCTCACCATCGGGCTCTGTGCTGACAGCTCAGAGCCTGGAGCCTGTTTCAGATTCTGTGTCTCCCTCTCTCTCTGACCCTCCCCCATTCATGCTATGTCTCTCTCTGTCTCATAAATAAATAAACATTAAAAAAAATTTTTTTAAATAAAGAGAAATAGGGATTTAACTGTGAATTCAGAGCAAATCAATCTAAGAATCTACTTACAGAGAGCTATATCTGTTAATGCCATCAAGATGGACTGTAACCAGTAAATATTCATTTCATGGAATCAAAATGGATTGCCTACTTTTGTGCAAACATGAACATTCAGATCCTTTCTATTAGGCATACATCTAGTTCTTTGATGACTTTTTAAAAGCTGTCATTTTAATCACTTATGAAAACTGTTTTAGAAAGAAAAATCCACCCCCAAAATTTCTCACCTCCTCTTATGAGAAATTATTCTGTTTTAATTCCACCTATGGAAGCGTATTCTAAGGATGTATGTGCCACAGTGCTGTATCTGCCACTATGGCAACTCGTTAAAAAATGCCACCCCCTTAAATTCCTTCATGGCGTATTAATTTGATGTTCTAAAACAAATATCTTACCATGAATTAATTCCTAGTGAATAATAAGATTAACCTAACTAAACTGGCTTCTATAACACTTCCACTATTTGTAAATGTGTTTCTTGTACTTTTTAAAAAATATTTTTTAATATTTATTTATTTCTGAGAGAGAGAGAGACAGAACGTGAACGCTGGGAGGGGTGGGGGCAGAGAGAGAGGGGGAGACACAGAATCCGAAGCAGGCTCCAGGCTCCAAGCGGTCAGCATAGAGCCCAAGGCAGGGCTCGAACCCATGAACCGTGAGATCATGACCTAAGCCAAAATTGGATGCTCAACTGACTGAGCCCCCCAGGTGCCCCTCTTGTACTTTTTTAAGGAGATTTTTTGCTAGGCTTCATTATAAATATTCTCTGCTAAAATCTACTAAATCACTAATACAGGTATCCCCTACTTTTCCAAAGTTCATGTCTCACCACTTTGCTTTTACAAAAGACCTTCATTAGTACCTATTTTCACTAACCAAAAGAAATCCAAAGAGGATTTTCACTTTGATCAAAAATGGCAAAATAGCGTTCACTGCTTATATACCGAGGCAGCTGTACCTGAGAAGCCAAAGTGGCCCCACCAAGCTCCTTCCTGGGAACTATACTCATAATCTCTGCGTCGAGCCACCATAACTTTGACCTGTGTCTGTGGACATCTGTACTTCATCTCAATTTATTATGTGCATCTGTTAACAAGGTGTGTCCTAAGGTGTCAGAAATGCCTAAAAGGGGTTATTTTTGGAGTCTGGGAAAGCTCAAAAAATTTTCCATATAAATTAATGATAATTGCATCTTCACTTTATGCCATTTTGGCTGATGAAAGCTTTCACAGGAACACTCTACTTATGTATATAGCACAAGAAACCTATACTTAAAATACAGCAATATAGTTCTCAAGATGTGATTCAACTAATGAGAGTATGCATTCACCAAATGCACTGGGTAAGATATCACTGAGAAAACCCACTACAAGATTGTTTGTGAGACTAAAAGAGTAGGAACCACCTCAACATCCATCAATAGACACCACATTAAATAAATTATGGTCCAACCATACAACAGCATACGACGTAGCCACTAAAAATATGAGATCTGCGTGTACTAATATGGCAAGATGCCTTGAGATAGCATTAAATGAAAAGAGTAAGATACAAAATGGTAGGTACAATAAAATTCCATTTGCATTTCTAAAAAACAGATACATGTGCTGTTTTGTGTGTGCAATATATGTGTATATGTACGTATGTGTATGTATAGCTATATCAATATTTATGTTTATAATTGCATAGAAAATATCTAGGAAGATACACAAAAGTTATTCACAATTACCTCTAGGAAGAAGCACTGGGGAGACACAAGACTTTTACATTTCATTGTGTACCTTCTGTACTATTTATTTTCCTAAACTTTTCATTTAAAAGGATCACTACTGGGGCGCCTGGGTGGCTCAGTCTGTTGAGTGTCTGACTTCGGCTCAGGTCATGATCTCAGTTTGTAGGTTCGAGCCCCATGTCAGGCTCTGTGCTGACAGCTCAGAGCCTGGAGCCTGCTTCAGATTCTGTGTCTCCCTCTCTCTCTCTGCCCCTCCCCTGCTTGTGCTCTGTCTCTGTCTCTCTCTCAAAAATAAATAAACATTTAAAACAATTAAAAAAAAAAAAAAGGATCACTATTGCCTTCATCACAAAGGGACCTGCCTTCAAAGACAAGCTGCAGTAAGTATTCAACAAAAAGAAAGATATGGTTTGGATTTATTCTCTACAGCTCTTTGCCTGAAATCCCTAATGGCTTCTAGGGAACATGAATCCTGAAGCCTACAAAGAAAGGCTATATCCTCAAAAAGGAAGTCTAAGGGGAGCCTCTTTTCCAGCAATGTTAAAATAATTCTAGGGCATGTGACTTGCCAAAATGGGAACATTCCACAAAAATAGGACTCTAACTAACAAAGCTGCTTTGAATAATGCAGTGTTTTATATATATAGGGATATATCGGGATGGATATTATTTTCAGAAATATTTTCGGAAGTCAAGAGTTTATATTATATTTCTGGATTAAAAAATTTTTTAAACCAATGATATCATCGTGCCAGTTTTGAATCACAGTTCAAGCACAATCAAATGTGGCCAAGAGCTGCCCTCGGCCCAGCAGAGGAGAGGGACAGGAGGCAAAGGCTGACTGAGGAGAGGCACGGCCCCGTGGGGCTCCAGCTGAGAGAGGTGGGCACTGTCCTGGCACGCAGCTGCCAGCCAGTGGATTCCTAAGCCGGTGTGTTCACGAGCAAAATGAGAACTCTGGACAGAAAATCACCGGGAATGGTTACAAGACCACTTACTCTCAGACACTAAAAGCAAGTCTTGTAACAGAAAGATACAACAGGGGCACCTGGGTGGCTCAGTCAGTTTAGCGTATGACTTCAGCTCAGGTGACGATCTCGTGGTTCATGAGTTCGAGTCCCACGTCAGGCTCTGTGCTGACAGCTCAGAGCCTGCAGCCTGCTTCGGACTCTGTTTCTCTCTCTCACAAACACAAAAATAAACATTACCAAAAAAATTAAAAAAAAAAAAAAAGAAAGATACATGTGGCAACCATCACAGCCACCACTCTGCACCCTCCCCTGCCCCAGGTTACCTCGTTCACATGTCCTGCACACAGCAAAACACAAGCATGGGCTGTGACAAGGCATGTTGGTATCCGGACTCAGCAGCATGTCACGGGCAGGCCAACTCTCCCATCATTCTGCAGCGACAGGGAGACGCTGAATCTCCCTGTCCATGGCCAGAAGCAGAGCCCAGTAGTCTCAACCAGTCCCTGGGACAACGCCACCCTTCTCCTAATCTAACTCCTTCAGCACTTGGGAAGTAGTTTACCAAAACTGCCTGCCTGACTGTAAGAGTGGAAATGGACTGGGACACTTATTGCAGAGAATCTGTTTCCTCACAGTAATACAGGAAATGATCACTGCTTCTTAATAATCATAAGGGATGGGATATAGGAACGGAAGAAGAGGCAAATTTTTTCATTTTCAACGGGGAGGAAGAAGATATAATCCGTAAGTGCATACATCATAGACCACCGAGCCTGATGCTTAAAGAGTTTAAAGTGTGGGGTGGGACTGTAATGTGTGACACCTTTGTGTGCCCAACTCCCTTGGGTAGGTATCGTTATCCCCACAAAACAGATTTTAAAACTGAGGCTCAGACAAGTTCTTTAACACACCTAGGGACACCAAGTAAAAAGTCACAAAGCCCTTCAAACCCCAAAGGCTGTACTCTCTCCACGTTCGACCGAGAAACGGAGGCCACCCAGGCCCAGCCATGAGTCCTACCATGTTAGACCCACCTCTGTCTGATCACAAATTTATCAGAAAGTTCAAGTATTTACATCCCTATTTTGTTGTCTGTCCCAAATAATCTACCTTTTACCCTTTTTTTTTTAAGGAATTGAATGAATGTTACCTAGACTTCTTACGGTGATCATTTTGCAGTGGATACATATACTGAATCATTATGTTGTACATCTGAAACTACTATAACCTTATATGTCAATCACATCTCAATTTTTAGAAAGGTTTACATAAAGGGGCGCCTGAGTGGCGTTAGGCGTCCAACTCTTGATTTCGGCTCAGGTTATGATCTCGTGCTTCGTGAGATCGAGCCCCACAACGGGCTCTGCACTGACCGCACGGAGCCTGCTGGCTTTTGCTCTCTCTCTGCCCCTCCCCTGCTTGCACTCATTCGTGCTCCCTCTCTCTCTCAAAATAAATAAACTTTTTTTTTAAGATACTACATAAAAAAGAAAGTGACACAATGTACTGCTGTAGAAGGGCCTAACGTCCTAAACAATGCCAAAGGGGGGCTGGGGCACTGGTTGATAAAGAAGAGAATGAAGGGGAAACACCATTACCACCCTGCAGCTTCATGACAATTAGACCCAAAGTTAGGCACTAAGGTACAGCTTTCTGAGCTTGGGACAATACTATGTTCCCGGAGGGAACAAGGGCATTCGGGGTTTGCGTTGTTAGCATTTTGGTTTTTCTCTCCGCAGATCACCGGAGCATCGCCTGGGTTCCCACTGCCAGGACTCCACCAAGATCCCCCCGCGGGGCACAGGCTTTAGCTCGCCACCAGCACGCAGCCCTCTCTCCAGCAAACAAACTGCCAAGGAGTCTTTGAGTAAGTGGGAACTCTTGGGTTGTTTGTTGTCATTTGCCCCACGCCTGCAAACACTTCCAGAAGTCAACAGGAAACCTCTTGTGCCAAACTGAACAAAACCCTGCTTCTCGGCACAAATTCCTGTTCGATGCACCGGCAGGTGTTTCCATGCCAGTCACAAAGTGTCAAGTGGCACCGGGAGACAGGACTAGGTGACAGGGATGGCTGATGGGCACCTTCATCCTGGGCAACTCCCCCCATGACATTCCTGGGGAACCCCTTATGTCAGGCCGAGACTGACATGTTCTCGTGCAGCCACAGATCAGCTCTAACAAAGCGAAAGGTTACAGACCTGGAGCAAACAAAGCTGGCCTGCAGGAACCATTGAAGTCACATAAAAAATACAAAGGAAACAGTATAAACTGGTCATTTTTTTTCTTGCTCTGTGCTAATGTTTTGCATTAATTTTGTCAGTCCAGCACGGAGGCCAACAGCATCCTCTTTTGACTGAGGAGGCAGGAGACAGGCTCCCAACACCCCAACGGCAAGCCCACCACCACCTGCTCTTGGGATTCTTGTTTTATTCCTTTAAATGTTAAATTTGAGGCCCAGGCTTCTAGGGAGTTTCCCTGAAACCATGCCACATTTGAAGCTCCCTATCTTTTTTTTTCTTTTCCCCCCCTGGGGAAAGCTTTTTATTCTTTCTATCAGATTCTCAAAGAGATCTGCAGTTGAACCAAGGTAAAGCAAAAATGCCTTCAAGCTTTCAAGAATGTTGTATTAAAATACAGCCCCTCTTGGGGCCCCTGGGTGGCTCAGTTGGTTAAGTGTCCGACTTTGGCTCAGGTCATGATCTCACGGTTCATGAGTTCGAGCCCCACAATGGGCTCTGTGCTGATAGCTTGGAGCCTGGAGCCTGCTTCAGATTCTGTGTCTCCCTTTCTCTGCCTCTCTCTCTCTCTCTCTCTCTCTCTCAAAAATAAACATTTAAAAAGATTTTTAAAACATTTTTTTTAATAAAATAAAATACAGCCCCTTTTGAGTTGCAAGTGTTATGGGCTTATGGAGTATGTGCTGAGGACGAATAAATCCGCCAAGTGAGAAGGAATGGCCAGGGCTGGTAAACAGGCCAAATGGGAGCTTGAGCAAAATGTAACCCATTTCACCTTGTTTTGGCATGGGCCCTGGCCCTGTAGCATGCTGACAGAGAATTTTAAAGGAATCACCCGGGTTAAGCAGGGAACAATGTTGCAAGTGGTGATCACTGATCAAGCTCAGGAGAAAGGATGCCTACTCCTACCACAGCCTCAGTTAAATAACCTAACTGGGACTCAGTTTTCTCAATTGTAAAATGGGGCTAAAAATAGTATCCTCCCCCTCCCCCCCACCTTTGCTTACTGGGATAAGGCCAAGTAAACAGTAAATGTCAGGGATCATGACTGCTAGTTAGAGGAGAGGTTACACTCCTTTTGTAATCATTTTCATGTGTGACCTTTGCAGTGAACCCTTCCTCAGGGTGAGAGATTTATTGTCATCTCTGTGTTAATTCTTCCCTTTAAGAACGTGTGGTCACATGTTTTAAAAGCATATTCTCAGCTCTGCCGCTTGACTCTTTCACAACTTCTCTCTTGAAAGGACCAAAGCAGGGGCGCCTGGGTGGCACAGTCGGTTAAGCGTCCGACTTCAGCCAGGTCACGATCTCGCGGTCCGTGAGTTCGAGCCCCGCGTCAGGCTCTGGGCTGATGGCTCGGAGCCTGGAGCCTGTTTCCGATTCTGTGTCTCCCTCTCTCTCTGCCCCTCCCCCGTTCATGCTCTGTCTCTCTCTGTCCCCAAAATAAATAAACGTTGAAAAAAAAAATAAAAAAAAAAAAAAAAAAGGACCAAAGCAAATGTATCTCCTCCACGTTTTCCGTACATTCTATTTTCTGTAAATATCACATGAAGTCTACAATGATTTGAACATTTCTAAGCTCAACAGACAAAATTACAGAGTGGATTTTCCAATCTCTGCCACTTACTGACTAAAAACGTCTTGTGTGTGATGCTTTGAACCTCTTCCAGCACTTTCATAACTACTCTTTATTTTATTTATGTGCTTCTTTATTTATTAATACCTGTACCTCTTCCCATCAAGGACTGAAGGTGGCTTTAAGGACACACAAAAGTTGACAAGTTGGCATAAAATAAAGGGAGAGCCAAGGAAAAAAGAAAACCAAAACCCCTGGGAAAGGGGAAGAAAAAGGCATTATTTCTGTTTCACAGAGAAGGAAACCAGGGCACAGAGCCATGTAATCCTTTTTGAAGCAATGTGGGTTAAAAGCTAGAAATAAGCTGACACGAAGCCAGCCCTACAAATGATATCCTGGGACTGTGAGGCACTGGAAAATTGACTCAAAACAAAACCCACCAAATCAGAAAGACCACCATGCAGCTCAGCGAAAGTGGACAGAGAGATGGGGACCCCTCCCGGGAGAAGCCCTGGGAGCTGGATGGGAACAGAGTTTGGAGGAAACGTGGCACTGACAGCAACGATGATGACCCATAGCACGGATCAGGTATTACTAAGGGCCAGGCACCATTCAAGAACTGTCACAATGTCACCTCATTCACGACTCACCACAGGGTCTTAGGACGTAGGCTAGTATTACTCAAGTTTTGCAAAGGAGGCCCAGAAAGATTAAGTAGGTAACTTGCTCAAAGTCATAGAGTGGGTGGAGGATTTGGACCCAGGCGGTCTGACTCCAGAATGTACTTCTAACCTCTGTCCCCGGAGACCTGATGCAGGCAGAGGCCATCAAAGGAAAGTTGGGTGACCAGCTGAGAGAGTAGGAGAGTGAGGAAAGCAGTCATGGTGGGTGGGTCAAGGAGGCTGCAAGGAAAAACGAGGACTCGGCTAGGAAACCAAGGAAGCCAGGATCTAAATCCCCGTGGTGGACATGCCTTTTATCCTGATGCTGGCAGCTTGATGGAGGTATTCCTGAGTGACCTCATGAGGAGCCAGGACACTGCCTTACTTCCAAAACCAGCCTGATCTGTGAGACAGGATAACAGGGTGCTGTTGTTGTTGATGTGGATGCTGCTAAGGATATATGATTATTTAGGAATCCTTTCATCAACAATAGCGTCTGCTTTAGTGTTGCCATTCAATTCAGCTAGTATTCGCCGAGCACATGCCGTGTACCAGGCACTGTAGTAGGCATAGTGATTTTGAACACAGGACTTTACAGACTTTATGTAATTTCCATAGCACATCAGGTATTTTTAAGCATTAAAAAATTTCTATATTTTAAAATAGAGCCCTCCTGACTTCTCTGTTTCCAGGATATGAGTGGCTGCCAGCCTCCCAGGCTATTCCTATCACAGCTCTAGTTAATTACTTGCTTTACTGTACAGGGTCCCCTCCCCCTCCCTATACCTTCAGGAGCCACTACTTCCTCCGGTTTCCCTTGGTGCACACTTTGAGCTGTAGCTTCTTCCCTCTGTCAGATCCCTTCCTTCCATGTTGGCCTTTGAGGGGGGTCAGTAAACCTATATGCCAAATATTTTCAATTTTCCTGCTCCAGGCACTTCCAGGATTGCTCTTCCTGGTTCTTTTGTGGAAATGGGGCCATGTCAATAGTTCTGGCAATGAGTTGTGAGCAGAACGGGTTCTTGGGGCTTGTCCCTTTAAACTGCCAGGGCGACGCCCTCCAGAGTTCTCTTTCTTCCTCCACATGACCAGGGCAACTTTTGAGAAAGGCTGCCAACCATCCTGACCGCCCGAAAGAACATGCAGCATCAATGAGAAATCAACTGTGCACTCTCCAATCACTTAGATTGGGGGCTCTGTTACCACGGCATAACCTCACCCCTTCTGGCTGATACAGCCTTTCAAAAAGGCTCAGTATTTCTGGCCCATAGTGACCACCCCTACTTTTCCAGAAGATAGAGAGAGATAGAGCGATAAAGACAGAGACAGAGATAGTGATGGAGATGGAAATAGAGATAGAGACATAGACACAGACGGATATAGACACACATGTAATTTTTTCTTGTCAGTTCTTGAAAGTTTGAGGGGAAAGGTAGGATGTGTGGACTACCAGCCACTTTGTTCCAGTCTCTGTATATAAATTATTTACATACAAAAGTAAACAGAAGTTGCAGCAGGGCACCTGGCTGGCTCAGAGGAGCATGCGATCTTGGCATCTTGAGTCTGAACCCCGCGTTGGGTGTAGAGATTACTAAAAAAATAATTAAATGAACTTAAAAATAAAAATAAGTTGCAGCTTTTGAGAGCCTTTAGAGAAATCTCACAATTTTAATCTGGAAATATATAGATACGAAATTTCTTCACAAGATGAAAGGCACAAATGATGCCTTGGAGTATAAAAAGCAGTGCACTCTGTATGAACTTACAAGGCAGTCTAGGAAGAACCTTTGCTCCAGCTCAGGGTTTCTCAGCCTCAGGACTATTGACATTTGGGGCCAGAAAATTCTTTGTTGTGAAAGATGGCTGTCCTATACATTGTAGGATGTTTACTGTCGTCTGGTTTCTACTCACCAGATGGCAGTAGCACTGCCTCACATCCCAGTTGCGAAAACCAAAAATGCCTCTAGGCATTGCCACACATCCCCTGGGGACAGGTCACCTTCAGTTGAGAATTACTGAGCTAGCTATAATCACAAATGGACTTAAACTTTCTCCCACAGAACTGGATATCAATTTTCCTTCCTTGAAGATTATTGTCTTGTTTATATACTGACACAAGTGTTGTCCCAGTGCCACAGAACTGGATCCAAGACAAATCGGTCTGGGTTCCAAAGGTTAGGCCACCTTTTCCAGAATTACTTCCAGGGCATGAACCTTGAGCCCGTGAGTGTCCTTTTAAGAGACTTAGACTCGGGGCATCTGGGTGGCTCAGTCTGTTAAACATCTGACTCTTGATCTCAGTTTAGGTCATGATCTCACAGTCGTGGGATCAAGCCCAGTGTTGGGGCTCTGCACTGTCAGCTTGGGATTCTCTCTCTCCCTCTCTCTCTCTCTGCCCTCCCCCTGCCCTGTCTCTCCCTCTCTCTCAAAATAAATAAACATTAAAAAAAAATTCTCTCTCCCTCTGCCCTTCCCCCACTCACTCTCATTCTCTCTCTCTAAAATAAAAATAAATAAATGATCTAAGTCTTTTAGTTAATAATGAAATAATAACTAAATAACTGAAGACTTAGTTAAGTCTTTTAGTTAATTATTTTATTTATTACTTAACTTTAGTTAAGACAAATTTAAAGGAATGTGGTGTTTACTCTATAGTAAGATGGCCACGCATTAACCCCGTCCTCTCCTTGTGTGCATGTACCATTCTTGCATTAAGGGTGGAACTGATTCCTTCACCCCTTGAATCTGAGCTGGTCTATGACTGCTTTGACCTACAGAATAAACCAGAAGTGAGGCAAGCCTTTAGAAGACTAACAGTTTCTGCTTTTCTTCTTTTGGAAGGCTCCCTCTTGGGATCTTCCCTTTAGGAACTCAGCCACCATGCTGTGAGAAGCCTGGGTCATGAAGAGGCCACGTGGAGGTGTTCCAGTAGACAGCCCAGCTGAGCTTCTGGCTGATGGCTAGCATCCACTGTCAGCGATGTGAATAAGATCTTGGACATTTCAGACAACTCCAGCTCCCATGTGATTGCAATCCCAGCCAACATCACACTGGGCATAAGAACTACCCAGCGGAATCAAGTCAACCCACACAACTGTGAGAGTTAATAAAATGGTTGTTGTTTCAAGTCACTATGTTTTGGAGGAGTTAGGCTGCAACAGATAACCCAAACACAATCTCAGAGAGAACCACTGTTGGTGATAGCGGCCAGAAGGGGCAAATGTTGGGGCGCCTGGCTGGCTCAGTCAGAAGAACGTGCAACTCTTGATCTCAGGGTAGTGAGTTCGAGCCCCACATGGGGTATAGAGATAAATAAAAAACTTAAATAAATAAAAAAACGTAACAACAATAACAAAAGAAGGGTCCAATGTACATGTGTGACATGCCAGGAGTCCAAGCAGTAGCCCAGGAAACAGGGAGCAGAGAGGTCTCTAACAACGGCAGAGTCTTGTCACATGGCCAGGGGTGTATAATTCCAAAGAGGTCAGTGATATCAAGTCATTGTAAGTTCATGAGTAACAAAGTCATCATAACGTGACTTCTTAAACAAATGTAGACGTGCCTTCAGTCAAATACTATTTCCTGGAACATACAATTTTACATGATCATCATGGCAGATACTATTAATAGTGTGTTTAGTGTGCGTGAACATGGTGCTCGGTACTTTCCATGCATTGTCCTTATTCCTCAAAACAGTCTTGAAAAATAAGAATATTTATCTCTCCCTCTCTCCCCCCAACCCTCTTTCCTTCCCTCTCTTCTTTCCTACTTCCTTCTTTCATCAGAAAAGGTAGTTTAAATTTTTTCTAAATCACATCATACATTGTTAGATGTAAGAAAGCTTCCTGTTAAACTTTGAGCAAAAAATAGAATCCAGAGCTGTTTTTTTTTCCTTCCCAGTTCTTTCTTTTTTAAATTCCAACATAATTAACGTACAGTATTGGACTAGTTTCAGGTGTACAATGTAGTGATTCAGCAATTCTATACATTACTCAGTGCTCATCATGATACACATACTCTTAATCCCCTTCACCTATTTCACCCCTCCCCCCCTCCTCTCTGGTAACCATCAGTTTGTTCTCTATAGTTAAGGGTCTGTTCATTTCCCTCTTTTTTTATTTTGCTCATTTGTTTTGTTTCTTAAATTCCACGTATGAGTGAAATCATGTGGTATCTTCCTCTGACTTACTTATTTCGCTTAATATACTCTAATAATATACTCTAATACTAGTATATTATACTAATGTTATATTATAGTATATTATACTATAGTATATTATACTACATAATATACTACTATAATATACTAGTGTATTATACTAATAGTATATTATATAATTATAGTATAATAATATACTATAATATACTCTAATAATATACTCTAATACTCTAAGCATAATATACTCTAGCTCCATCCATTTTGTTGCAAATGGCAAGATTTCATTCTTTTTTATGCCTGTTTCCTCCCAGTTCTTAATATGCTGAAACGAATTCAATATCCTTCCTACTTCCTGGCTAGTTGCAAACAACTTCAACTTCTCACGCCTGTTGAAGGTTGAGTTAATATTTGAAAAGTGATATGTAGGTTTACAGCCTACTACCGGCAGAGACCAGTTACCCTTTCAGTTCACCTCCCATGTTCTAACACCCTGGAAATGTTTATGGAGTGTCCACCGCATGGGTAAATGCCACGTAACCTCCTCGGTAGATGAAATCAGAAACAGATTACAAGTAGGAAGATTCTACCTGGATGGACATACTGGCAGTAGGAAACTCATTTCCTTTCCATCATTCTGTAAGGCACCTGGATAGCCAACAGCAGGCACAGTATTCAAAACAGAGCATGCACTTACTCGACGCTTACTGGATGAATAAAAAGCATTAAATAGAGAGTAATATGAATGTCTGAAAATAATGTTAAACAGTGTTCACTGTGTAAAATAAGTAAAGTAGGATTATCTGATATTATTGGCTCATACTGAGCCCGCAAAATGCATTAAATGCATTTGAATGCATTAAAAAATTCTCATTTACAGCCTTATGTAGATAATTCCAAATTTGTTTTTCCCAATTTCGAAATCTTGCCATTTCATACTTTTGCTCAGGCTGCTATTGCCTTGGACCTGTAGGAAGTTACCACATAATCTATATTCATGAAGTCCAGATTTGAAAGACAACATATTTCAATCAACTCATTCTTTGAAGAAAGAAGGCACAGACTTGGTCACAAAGACCAATGATCTTCTCATCTTCACAAAGTAGCTCAAATTCAAATTTAGGCAATTAGCTGAGAATTTATAGCCAGAGATAAAGCAGTGGGAAACTGTAGGGTACTTCTCAGATGCATCATGAAGGAAAAATTCCACAGGCACCAGCTGAAATCACAAATGAGCAACTCCCTGTCTCTTATTATGACTATTTCTCTATATTTCATTAATGATATATTAAGAATGTTATTAATAACTATGGCTGACAGAGCAACTTTAAAGCATAATTTAAAACTCTACAGGTTTAAAAGTACTGACAATAAATAAGGAAACTCCGAGGTCTAGTAATAAATGGTTATAAAAAATGTTTCCTCCAAGATCTGATTAAATTTTGTATTATTGTTCTTCTCTGGGGAACTGTAAATGTAAAATAACATGTTAATTTCTATTCCTTAAGTAATATTTCTCTAGCATCCTCAGAATGTAATAGTTTCAACAGCTACTCTTTTCATAGAGAATTCTGACATGAGAAATAAGATATCTGCTCTTTCCTGAAGAGATGTTATCTTCTTAAATGAGTTTGTTCATTCTATTTATTTGTTCTGTGAAGCTATGAACCTACCCTGCCTGATTTGATTTTGTTCCTCTTATTTTAAGTTTGCATATTTTATTTTCCCAACTAGCCTCAACTCCCTGCATACAGAAATCATGTGTTCCCACACAATTTCATGTTTTATGTCACCCTCAACCTAGAGCATGGTGATAGATGCAAAGAGGACAATAAAAAAATGTTTCATTGACTGGTTAGATAGACCTCTAACAAACATGCCATAAAGGCGCCTGGCTGGCTCAGTGGGTGGAGCATGCAACTCTTGATCTCAGGGTTGTGAGTTTGAGCCCCACGTTGGGTGTAGAGATTACTTAAAAATAAAACCTTTAAAAAAAAAAGCATGCCATAAAACACATTCTCACAGACGTGGCTCTGCTTAAAGCCACCTGAAATTAATGGGGATCCTTCACCATAAGATGATTTGTGGAAACTGCACGGAAGCCTCTTCAAATACAAATCAAAGCACTTTGCAAATGAGAAGGCATCTGTTGACATCTACATTTGCAATGAAGAGATTATATGAGAACAGGGTTAGATAATTTGCCTACAACTATACGCTGAGTTAGCAGAAAACATCTATCCTAACAGCAAATTCTAGGAAGTAATTCTGTGGATACTTTGGGTCAGTATGAATCAGAATAACCTCCCTGTAAAGGCTCTGTGCCAGTACAAATCATTTTTTTTTTTTTTTTTGCCCAGTACTGAGCACCATAAAGGGTAAGGCTTATAGTTGCTTGTTGAAAGGAGTTCAACAAAGAAGTAGAAGTCTAGAAACACCCACAGGGGCACTACTAGCTATAAGAGCAGCAACAGTAATGACCGCTAGCCTTTACTAAATGTTCTAAGCTCTGTTGCCTCATTCAGTTGTCTGTCATGACAACCTAAGAAGCAGGCAATATTATAATTTTCATTCTACAGATGAAGAAATTGAACAACGCGAAGTGTAGCAACTTGCCCCAGGTCAGAATCAAGGTCAAACCTAAATCAGTCTAGCTCCAAAACCAAAAATAAGAATGCAGAATATGATCTTTTTAAGTGAAAATGATACAATTAAATAAGTAGCTTTAAGACAACTGGCTCCCATTGAGAAAATAATAAAGCTATCACCCTGCCTCACATTCTACACCAAGAAACACATTTCAAAATTAAAAAAAAAAAAAATTTAAACTGTAAAATTACCAAGAGATACCTAATTTATATAATCTTGGGAGAGAATGATTTTCTAAATATTATACCAAAGCAGAAGCACTGATGGATAAAATTAACTATGTAAGAATTTAAAATCTGTACAACAACAACAAAACGAAACAACACATTTACTTGTAGTAGCCAAAACTGGGACACAAACTAATGGCCATTAACAGGGGGACAGTGGAAAAGATTATAGTGTATTTGTACTCCAGAATACTACACAGACCTTTGGTTGAGCTATTAACATCTAAAGATGATTGTGATAGAACATGGAATTTTAAAAGGTGAGTTGGAGGGGTGCCTGGGTGGCTCAGTTGATTAAGTGTCTGACTTCAGCTCAGGTCAATATCTCACGGTTTGTGAGTTTGAGCCCTGTGTGGGACTCTGTGCTGACAGCTCAGAGCCTGGAGCCTGCTTCGGATTCTGTCTCCCTCTTTCTCTCTGCCCTGCCCCGCTCATTCTCTCTCTCAAACATAAACATTTAAAAACAATAAAAAATAAATAAATTTTTAAGAAGGCAAGTTGGAAAACAATATGTTTTTGTTAGAGATTTCTGGTTTGCTAAAATCAAACACAAACAGAGACCAGACTTGAAAATTCCCTGAATGGACACAACCAGTTAGTCATACATGTAAAGCTTAATTTAGTTTACTTTGCAAGATAAGAGAGGCTAACTTGACCTGGGACACTTCTTGGTTATGTGTCTGAAAATCATAAGCAAAACTTAAATTGTTCCCCCAAACTAATAGGAGGTAACCACTAACCAAACCCTTACATTTAAGAAAATTCTAATATTGTAACCAATTACTGCAAAAGCCAGTCACTGCCTCCACACTACATAAGCTGCTTTATAACAATATACCTCTGAGCTTCATTCTGTGTTTTGGTTTGAGCACTCCCAATTTGCAAAGTGTCTTTTTAGTGTATGCACAATAAACTAATTACTACTTCAGTGATTCATTGGTTTTACTTCTGTTTTCTTTTTTTTTTTCCCTGAACTTTGACAGGTTAAAAGCTATGCATAATCAACCGTACTAAAATACACACATTTACATGCACAGTTTACCAACACTGAGATATATATATTTAAGGTACACTTCCCTAAAAATATACACAACACTACTGGTTACCACCAGGAGGTAGAAAGGGAGGGGAAGAATAGAGAATGTTCTTTTTGCTTCTTTTTCATCTGTGGTATTTTATTTTATTTTTTTAATGTCTATTTATTTTTGAGAAAGATAGAGAGAGAGCACAAGTGGAGGAGGGATGTAAAGACACAGAGGCAGACACAGAATCTGAAGCAGGCTCCAGGGTCTGAGCTGTCAGCACAGAGCCCAATGCGGGGCTTGAACTC